ATGAGCTTTCCTAATGCTAATCCATCTTTACTTTTGTGTGATTACCCTACTGTTTTCCTGTAATTAAAATGTGGCAGGTAGCTTACACACAAGAGGGAGTAATTGCATTGGAAATAACTGTTCATAACTAAATTTTAAAAGCTCACTTTTCTCATCAACTTTTAATAAACAAGCCAAGAGAATAATGATATTTAGTATCTGTGTCACCTACAAGAGCATTTTGTCTCTCTAAATTGCTAACATTTCATTCAATAATGCTAAAATAAACCCTTTCAGTTAGGAAGAAAAAAGAGAGAGAGAGAAATCTTAATCGCAGCCATTTGTTCATGTTGCATTTAAATGATAAAAGATGGATGAAGTTCAGCTAAAGGACCCAAGCCTTCAAAAAACACCGCATGGTTCTGGAAGGAGAAAGCCAAGTTTGTACATACTGCGGTTGGATACACCAGGGTGATGGGAGGAAGGCAACACCAAGAAGGCGAGATCCCCTTTCCTCCACGTCCTAAGGGATTTGGGAGGAGATGGGTTCCTCATTTCCCCCTGCCTGGCTATTTCTATACTGCCTTTCTCCAGAGGTGCACACGGATGCCTCAGCACAGAATCTGCATGGACTTGCACAGCCCTGGGGGCAACACGGGCTCTCTGCTCAGAGCAGGATGTTAATTTTGGCTTGACAGGCCTCTGGAATACCAAAGATGGGGAATATTATCCTTACAAAGACTTTTCTGGAACTTTTGCTTGGGATGTTTAAGCCATCTCTTTGGAAATTTCAAGCCTTGCAAGATGATTTAGGGAAGAAATACAATTTATTATTATAGTCTGACAGCACCTGCCAGCATACAGGACTGCAGGCTAGAACATGCAACATCTGCTGCAGATGGCATAAACCCCAGCATGCAAACACCTGACGTGATAGAAACACCATGGAAGGGCAAAGAAACTGCAAAGGGACCTCAGTGGTTTTATGAGCAGACAAGTAAGTGCACATTTGCCATTTAAGTGCAGCTCTCCTGTTCTGAGGTCCTCCCGCTACACAAGAGACTCCACAAAAGGGGCGCTAAGGGACACTGCTGTGCACAGCTAACGCTGCTGGCGGCACCGCGCGCTTTGTGAGCCCTGGGGGACGAGGTCAGCGCGCTGCCACAGCCACCTAGGAGCTGCATGTGCTTGAAATCAGTGCATTCGTTCCTGTGTGTTTATATAAGCACATCTCTGTCGTTATATTCAGAAACTAATGCAAGGGGAAGCTTTTCAAAAATGGTTTAAGTTTGCTACTAATAGCTGAAATGAGGATCCCCAGCACATTGTAAATGAGTGCTCTCCTGCATGAAAGCTGTGCGTGCCATGGGCAAGGGCTGCTAGAGAGCTACATCGCTGGATGTTAATGCAGGTAGACCAAAAAGAGGAAGGTCACAGAGTGCAAGTTCCAGCCTCGTAATTAGACAGCCACAAACGAGCCCTGGAGGGGCTGCCTTGGCCTCGGTCCATCTCTGCACAGCTCAACATCTGGCGCCTGCACAGATGCAGCTGCAGGATGCAGCCCGAAACGCTCAGGCTCTGCAAAGCCTGAACCACCCGGGCAGCCCACAGGCATTGCTGCTTTCTCCCCACACCCAGCATATACAGACCACATATTTTCACCAGGCTTGTCCAAAACCTGAATGAACTGGAGCTCCTTTTACCTATAGATCATTGGAACGCTTAGCACCAGATGGTGGTTTCTACCTCAATTAGGTTAAGCCACTTTCAGGGTGCATTTGGGTTTCAACCCCAAATTTCTGGCTTTGGTCCAGATTCATTCTGTGGTTTGGCTTAAAAGTCACAGTAGGGTTTAGAGGTAGCGGCGCTCATAGCGGTTCCCACAGTCCAAGAGTAGCATCACTCTGACGTAAATGAATAGGCTAAAATGGACCTGATTAGCTGAATCAGCCACAGGAGAGAGATGCAATTTCTTGAGGTCCCCTCCATGTTTTTCATGTTGCCTGGGCATTGTTAAGCTTCTTAAAACAGAGGATCAAATACTCCAGCAGGGCTGAATGGCTGCACCAGAGAGTCACCAACTGGCCCCACTGGAACATGACACTGCTGTTTGAAAGCTCTTTGCAAAAAGGAATAGCCCCATGCTAATTTGCTTAAGCCTTGAATGTTCGTATTAAAGGGGAACCTAAAATAAATTGGTTATGATTTGCCTATCAAAAGCCATGCATAGGAAGCTTATGCTTTGATTTTACAGGAGATTGTCTTCCCGACGTGAGTCAGCGGGGAGTACCATGGAGAGGGAAAGGGGTTCAGGGCTTGAAGCAGAAGAGAGTACATTGATATTGCTACAATCTGTCACAGATGCTGCATTTCTCACAGAAGACTTTTTCCCCCTGAGATTGTTTTGCTTTCTCTACTCCTCCCTTTCGGTGAACCCCATTATCAACATTTAAAACACCCCTGGGTTCTCCTGAGCAGGTTTGGTGTGTTCATTAAAGCACAGTGAGCACTTATTGGCCATAATGAGTCCTCATTAAATTCTGCTAAGTGCCAGGATTGTGTGGTTGTACTGAGCAGATTCAGGTTCCTGGAGGAAAGCTCAGGGATGGGAGGATACTGGAAAAAATATTTTCTAAAATAGATTTAAAAACATTCTCCTCCTTTTTAGAATGGCTGCAGCCTGAGAACAAGCTGTTCCTCTGCTCTGCAAGCACGGGGTGGGGTCGGTCAGACCTGTTAAGCACTGGCTATAGGTTATTTACTACTCGAATCATTTTCCCATCCCAAGAGGCCTCTCTGCTTCTCTTATCAAAACAGGAACGAACTAAAGATTTTGCACATTTGCATCTCCTCATTTGAGAATTTTAATATATTTGTTATTTAAAGATAAAAGCCTGCCTCTCAAAATTCACGTACTGATGTGATTTTCTCAGCCTCAGGGAAAGTTGCAGGATAGATCGCAGAGCAGAGATCCAAAAGAACTGGCAACATTGCAGGGAAAAGGCCACAACCACAATACGCACTAGTCAAATGCTGCACGTGGCCAGGCTTGACCAGGCAGAGGTCCAAGTGACCTGAACTCAACCTCAACCCGACCTGCACACCTGTGGGCACCAGCTGGACTGGCTGTGCATTTCAGCCACGGGTTCTCCTGGGTCTCTCACGTGCAAAGCTGGTCTAGGGGCTGGGGTTCATGATGCACGTGGCACAGCTATGCCACCAGACGCTCTACGGCCAACAGACCTAAGCTAAGTTCATGGAAAAGCAGCCTCCTCAGTTGCCTCCTCCCTGTAGGACCACGCTCCAGCCAGCTGCTGAGGAAAGAGCTGATTTGTCTCTTTTGACCATTTGGTTGGGTCATTAGGGCTCAATAGAGTTGAGTAAATTGGGCCATAACTTTGAAGCTAGGAGCCTTAAACAAGCCTGTTGGGCTCCCACCGAGTCTGTCTGAACCCTTCTCTTTCAGTGGGGTCTTACCAGTTCCAAACCCAAACAAGTTGTTTGATTGTACAACTTGGTTGTTTTCTACTATGCCAGCTTAGAGGAACCAGCAATCATCAGAAAACAGCCACCTGGAAGAGACAACAGCCACTAACAGGTAACTCTAGGGCTTCCTCTGCGGGGCACAGAGCTTACTCCAAAGCTGCGTGCTACTCAAGGACCGACTGTGCTTAGAGAGATAAATTCATCAGTTCCCTGCCACCAAAAAACAAGTAATTCCAACTCACTTAATAAAAGATCTCCTCTATCGCCTTTTTTACCAGGTATGACATGAATGAGAAATCTCTACTTGAGACAAAACACCGCGGATCTATCTTCTAGGTGCTGCACGGTATTGTTCCACGTTCAGTGAGACAAGCAGATCACACGGCAGAGGAGGAAGGTCCACGCCTGCCTCCAGACAGCCTTTCATTTTATGAGAATCGATTTCTTTTGTGTTATAGTTCAGGACCTGACACATGCAATGTGACTCTTCAATATCACTCATCCCTAAATCAAGAGAAAATGAGAGGTGAAAAATGGCTTATCTTGGGCCAGAAACCTCACAGAAGGTATCAACTCTGGAGTGATCACAAAAATAAAAATAAAAGCCTTGTGTCAGCTGAAACACCCAATTACCTCATATTAATTGCATTGCACCTTTCTCTAATTACCCCTGTGGCACAGTCCAGGTAGTTCATACACAGAGAGCTAATTTCACAGCAAGAATCGTGACAGTCTCCTTAAATCTAGGATGGTACTTTACAAACCAGAACGCTCTTCAGACCCAGATGATGATACCGGGGCAAGGATGATAGTTTACATGCTCATGCTCTGTTTTTACATTCATTTTCCATTGTCTGTGTCAGAGACAGGATACATCCTAAACGTATGGTTATTCCCACAACTACAAAGCAGTTCCCATGACAGGATTCAGTATTAATAAATAATACCTTTATCACCAAGAGCTGTTCATCACTGCTAACATTAAGACATATGAATTAACTAAAAACATACACAAATATATTTTAACCTCTACTAATCCCCAGTGAGTCATTGATGGTAAGTGACTATTTAAGGAAACTGAGTCAGACCACAGCTAGATGATCAGCTCATCCCCCAGAAAGCCAGTGTACATCCCAATGGGGAGGAGAGAGCTCCTGGTAGTGGGAGGTTTCTGCAAGCATCCCTGGGAGATAACACTTCTGCAGATGGCTGCAAAACACATTGGATCAGGAGCAAGTTGTATGGGATACGAAGCAGAGAGCTGGCTTCCCAAGCACGCATGTAGAGACTGACCTTCATCAAACAGCAGAAGGCATGGGATTGTGCTGAATTTATGCTCCTCTCCTTCTCCAGGAGGAAAAGAGCAACATTAGGTGAATGATTTTTTTTTCTTTTTCTTCCCTGTAATAACTACTATCAAGGGTAACTAAAGCACTCTGTTATTGAAGTTATATCTGAATTTCTGAACCTGCTCAGTGGAACACCCATCACCCTCCCTCATCTTCCCCACACCTTTTCAGGTAGCCTTTACTTACAATTGTGAAGTTCATGACCTTCAGAATCCAGATGGTCATAGCAAGGTTCACCAGGATTAAAATCATTAGGAGCAGCACAAAGAAATAGAGGCATCTCTTCCTCCAGCCATAAATCCCCACTTTGTATACCTGGGGTCCTTCCGAGGTCTGCATGGTGCTCCTGTGTGCGTACTGTTCCTGAGGCATCTGAAACAATCACATAAAAATAGCCATGTGAATTAAGAGGCAAGACAAATCCTATGCTAAGAACTGCTAATGGCTTCTGTTGATTCTTCTCAGAGGTTTTTTTTTTTTTTTTAACTTCAGAATTTACCAGCTGGGTAGTGTTTCATTTCGTATCTTCCCTCTGTATTATTTTTCTTGCTGCTTACTATATTCTATAACCTACCATAAGCAATTGTGCATGTATGCACATACACACACACACATATATATATAAAACAAACTGTCTTTCTCTCTCACTCTCTGCATGTGTGTGCGTGTGTGTATGTATATATATATATATATATATATACATATAAATAGGCATAAGCACATTGTCTAAACTGTCTTAAGGCATCCTGTGGAGATCACTCCCTTGCGACTCCCTTTTCTGCTCCAGGTTTTTGCAAGGCAGGCACTCCAGGGCCTCCAAGAATCCTAAGGGGGAATTTTTGTATGCAATTGGTAAAAGAAGTTGAGTTCAGCACTTTGTGTTGAAGATGCAATGTTACTTCTCTGAGGCTTTAATTCAAAAAACAAACAAACAAACAAACAAAAAACCCCTCAAATAAAATCATTCCTTCCAGTCAAACAAAGAAGGCAAAGGGGAAATGTGCATCTTTTTTTTTTTTTTTTTTTCCTCCCCATTCTCCCTATTTTTTCTTAGCCAAGGAAACCTGAAGCCCTTAGATCTCCAGCTGCTGGGGACAAGGCACTGAGCCAGGGCACAGAAGGCCCCGGGGGCCCTTGCTGTGGGCAACAGTTGTGCAGACTTGGGCTTGCATTTGTCTGGGCATTTTGTGCACCATGTGGTTGCCCTCTGTAACTGGAAAAAACACCAGCTGATCCAAACATCTGCTGGCCAAAAATGTCCAGATTCGTTTTGCAACAATTTCACCAGAATTTCCCCAGGAATACGTCTAATAACAAGTAGTTTCCTGAATGTTTTGCAATTAAGGCTTCCTCCTCCAAGCGCCCGGCCTCAGCCCTCATACTCAGCGAGTTACCAAATTCACATCACAGGATGAAACAAGGCAAGTTCCTCTCCATGGGAGACTGGTCTGCAAGGGCAGCAATGAAACGATAGAAATAAGACAGTCACCGATAGTGGCTTTTGTTTGTTTGTTTATCGTTAGTTTCTTGCAATTTTTGTTGTTGTTGTTTTGTTTTTCCCTTCTTGCTTTTAGAGAAATTTGCCAACAGCTTCATATTACAGGCCCCTGTGTGCTACCAAGCTCACATGTTGGGTATTTATTTATTTATTTCAGTTTTCTCAGCTGGTCTAAAAAAAGGATATTACCTCCCCCCATAAACTATGCCTCATTTGCAACCTCAGCCCATGCCAGCTAAAGATAAGGCTGTGTGGATCTGCAATGCCAATTAGTAAAAACAGCCCGTCCGAGCCGGCGAGAGCCAGCCGCCGCGCTGCACACACGGGTGTTCCTGCCGTGGGTCGTCCCCACAACACAGCTAACTAATCAGCAGTGCAGGAGCGAAGGAAAGCGCGCCTGCAGCACGGAGCAGATCGCAGCACGCAGAGCGGAGCACCACGGAGCACGTTGTCTCTGCAACCTAGAGTATCTCTGTGCTGCAAGACAACCCAAAACTCCAACAGACCCTTAGCTTATGCTAGCGAGAGCAAAACAAGTTGCTCACAACAACTGGGTCTTCACTGGTGTTTTCACTCACAGCTCTTAGGTCAGAACTTTAATCCACGGAGGGTTTTGCAGTGCGGAGCGTGGTGGGGGACAGGAGCCAGGTCACCAGCAAATGCACCCACTTGGAGAGACCAGGCCCTTGTGTGGCTCCAACCACTCTGCAAAGGGACATCTTAAACAACAGTAAATTACAGGGTTTCCACTACCTGAGGGAAGTTATAACAGCAACTACCGCACACAGTCAAGGATTTTATTGCCTAATATTTTAACAGGATCTTGGAGAGCACGTATAAAATGCAGTCACTCCCTTGGCAAAGACAAGTAACTTTATCTCCAAGGCTCTTGAATCATGAAGCAGGACTGACATCGAGAACCAATTTGAAACAGCCAGTTCAAAACATCGCCTTATTGAAAAAAAAAAAAAAAAAAAAAAGGGTTTTCTCTTTGCCTCCTCACATTTATTTTTTTTTCCCACTTGCACTTGCAAGATGGAGAAAACAGCATATCCAACCAGGGCAAAAATTTTGCAGACGCCAAATGATTTATGGAGGAGCAGGATATAACCACGGAAAGCAACTTGAATCCGCACAACAGCCTCATTTTGTGAATTTCTCTGGCTTAGATAAAATATTTAGCTGAGAGTTGTTGTAAAAGAGCTAGAGCAACCGAAACACCACAGAATGTATGGGGAACACAATATAGTAACACAGCATAAATTTGTAGCAAGAAAATAATGTGGAATTGATAGATGGGATGCTTTATATATATTATACATATATATATATATATATGCATGCTCACACAGTTACATTTGTATCTATATATGATTTCTAGCTAGTATTTTTCTGCTGCATTGGAAATACCAAAGAAAAAATGCTCATGTCTGTAGTTCTCTCAGAAGGGAAGAAAGAATGATGGACATGAAGTGCTAAGCTCTGTTAAACAAGGTGGTCTGTTGGGCAACTTCAAAAGGAACAAGCTACATCCAATTCCAATACGTGTCTGTGCATTGGAGGGAGAAGCAAGATAATTTACATTTTGGAAATTTCTTCCAGCTCAAATATTGGAAAAGAAATAAGCAGCAAATTAGACAACAGGAAAAATATATATATATATTACTGTGGAAGTATGTCCAATGCAAGGTACCTTCCTCTTCAATCACTGCAGAAAGTTAAGCAAAGGACAAATAGTTGCTATACTGGATATATATTAATACACACAAACACTTTTTTTTTTTTTAAAAAAAAAAAAAAAAAGAACAGCTTTTTTACACTAGGAATATCCACCCAATTCCATAAGACTGGTGAAAAAAAAATACAAAACAAAACCTGTAGATATTGGAAGAGAAGCACTTCCTCCACAAGTCAGATGTGGAAGTGCCTGCCGTCCAGGGGATGGCTTAAACACACATGTGCACAGCATTGAGTGCCATTAGCACATTTACCAGCCCATTTGTAATAGAAAAATGCTTCAGCTGCATGACAAATCTTCTGAGTCTAGCCACACATGACACTACCATGACTAGGAAAGCATAGCCTGAAACCCCAGTAATTCTCCAAGGAATTCTTGCTGAAAAAAAAAAAAGTAATAAAGTTTTTGAGCAATAGCTGTACACAGAATCCTTATACTTCAACACTGCAAACCAGACCTGATACAAAAACTAGTCAGCCTGAAAAGCTTTCCATCTTTTCACTTCACCACACCTTTAATTTGGCCCATTAAAAAAAAAAAAAAAAAAACATTACTTGCTTTTTTTAAGGTCACTGAAGAGTCACATCCCTACATACTCCATCCGACACAGGCTGCTCACCAAGTGTTTCTGGCTCAAAGCTCTGGTGATTTCTTTTAGTAAAGCTGCAGCCAGACTCAGCTGAAAAGCATCACAAATCAGGACCAGCTCTGAATTTCCAAAAAGAAACAGCCTTTGGGGCTACAGGTGTGGGAAGGCAACAGCTCTGGGGATGGCAGCATTTACTTCCATGTTCCCTGAGCCTGCCCTGGGTGCTGGGACCACCGTCACCCTTGTCTCTTTCTCCCTTTGCTTTTTGAGAGGTCCTTTCCCTGCGGGCTGAAACGAGGAGCGCGCTGCAGCCGCCCCCGGCAAGGTCTCTGCGGGCTCCAGACGCTCTGCACATTCACGTGCTTTAATTTCTCTGACTTTAAAGTGTGCATTATCTGCCAGGTCCAAAAGAACAGACATTTTGGGAGAATAACTGAGAACAAAATTCGGCATGAAGAACAAGCACAGTTTTGAGCCATCTATCAACAGACGCTGCCTTTCCAATCCCTGTAAAACTCTCCTTCAAGCTTGACACCTCCGGGCCTGTTAATCTACCAGCTTCGTGACCCAGAAGTGATTTATGGAACCGCACATGGGTCAGACCTCAGCTTGTGCATCCATAAAAGGATCCATCCCTGCGAAATGCCTTTTGACCCGCGGATTGGCCAGCAAGGTCTGGGAAGCGGGGACCAGACAGAAGGGTGAGCTCCTCGGTGCGGTAGTTAAACCTTACAACCCTCTTCTATGGTCTAAGCCTTGAGCTCACTCTTCTGCTTTGGTGTGTGCCAGCACGTCGTAAGTGTAAGCGCCCGGACAGACAAGTGTCATCCTCCAATGGGATGTGTTGTTCTTTCTGACTTGGTTCCATCACATGCAGAGTGTTCACAGACACCCACCCTGATTTTGTGTAGATATCTCTTATCCAGATCCCTGAATGCTCCAGGGCTGTCCTCTAACTCCAGCAACTTGAGCTGCCTCCTAACTCCAATATCTTGAGATGTCATGTAATTCCCTGAGAAGCTATGGATGACAGCATTTCATAGAATCAGAGAATCCTTAAGATTGGAAGGGACCTCTAGGGATCATCCAGTCCAACCCCTGCACACGCAGGGTCACCTAGAGCACGTGGCACAGGGCTGCGTCCAAGCGGGTTTGGAGATCTCCAGAGAAGGAGACTCCACAACCTCTCTGGGCAGCCTGTGCCAGGGCTCCGTCACCCTCACTGATAAGAAATTTCCATAAAAAACTTTCAGGTATTGCAAAGGTCTTTGTTTATAAACAAGGATCCAAATGGAAAGCTCAGCACAGGACTTCCGCTCTCCCAGTTGCTGCTCTGCATTCGAGGAGCCCTTATGGCAAAAACTCTAAACATTAGAGTTTGCTAGAATGAAATGAAAGAACAGGCAGTTCCATCTGCGAATAGTATCTCCTAAAACAAAAGTGGTATTTTATTCTAAGATGCCGTAAGAGCCTGTGGGCAATGCGGAGAAGAAAAAAAATTACTTCTCTCATACTTCTCTCTCTGGAGGAGAGAAACATGTTTGTTTTCTTACAT